CTCATAAATTTTCCTCAATATCTTCATCATCAGTGTTAACCCTATTGTAGTCATACTTGAAGCCATAAACTTTCTCTAACTTCTTAACGTACAATTTACATAACTTACCTTCGTCATCGTATGGTTTAATGATATAACTATTTCTATCTTTATACACAGTCAATGAAAAGTCAACTGGTCTCGGATGTATTTGAAAGAACATGTTATGCTCAGGAAGGAAGAATAAATGTTTAAATATATGTTTGTTATATGTTTTGATTTGTATGAGTTGCTTTTGTTCTGTCATTACATCCAAATAAAATAAAAATAATTTTAAAAAATAAAATAAAAAATAAATGATATCACCACCCTCACACGTATGAAAACATAGCACAAAAATAAATTTAGGTGAAGTGGTGAGATCTCACCTCTTTTTTCACCTGTTTTTTCACCCTGTTGAATTCATTGCTTTATAACTCTCTTCCTTGGTTTCTTTTTAGTTGCTTTCTTCACGTCTGTCTCCAGCTTGACTGTCTTTCTTCTTCGTCCATAATGATACCAATTACTTCCACCAGTCAATGGGTCAAATGGTCTTTCGTAAGGGTTTCCATACATTGCATAGGGACCATACGGAAGAACTACTGGTGGAGAAGAAACATTTTCTTTAGTTCCATCAAATCTATTTAAATGCATTGTTTCACCTTTCATCTGGTCATTAAAGTCTTTTGCGTGTTTTGCAAACTCATCGTCCTTTCCTAAAGCATTTTCTGACTCAGTCGCAACCAAATTGGATGCTTTATTTATGAGCCCTATTTTATTTAATCTTAACTTCTTTGCAACCCAGCCTCCAATCTTCCCTTTATTTGCATCTAATGTCTTCGAAACCCTTCCTCCACTCATTTTATTTACTGCGTCATAAGCTCAAGTGCTTTTGCTCCAAATGCTAATGCTTTTGTTCCCATTGCGCCTAAAGCTGCCCAAGCTACCATTTACACCATATTAAAATCATCTCTCTTCAATATTATCTCATAAAAGTTCTCGTTACTGGAGAAAGTCAATGAAACATAAGCGTTCTCACGGGCTTCGCCCTCACAGCTTTGCGGTCTATCTAATTCTTTCTTATCTCATCTATACGCTTCAAAATGTCTGAACAATTGCTAACATCTTCTACAACAGTTATTTCATCATGAATGACCTTCAAGAACAAGCTCATTTAATATGCAATTAAAATCATCTCAATAATGAGTCCATCCTTTCCGTCTTTGGGTAGCACAACATCTTTCATTGAAGAAGGTTCGACAAGTCTTATGTTAAACTTACTGACAAAGTTTGTTATACTATAATGCTTCGGCGGCGAATACATGTAGTTTGAAAGACATAATATAGATTCTTCAGCAAATTCATTATACTGGATTTTATAACAATGTTCTCACGAGACCAAATACCACCAATTGACAATCTTGTAAGCAATCCTGCTGAACCTTCAACTGTAAACGTCGATGGTAACATTCCACGAAGGTCATCTATTGACATCGTTGAGTCACTGTATTTAAATATTTTCTTAAAGCAATCGTCATTATCTAACCATGCAATAGCTTTGAAGTTTTCATTCGAATATACATCTGCTTCATTAAATGTAAAACCTGACTTCTTTGCAGAGACGACTTTAAAATCTATTGAGTTTGTTTCAAAATTATATGCTATGGTAACTTCTGAAGGTAATGGATGTCCTTCCGCAGTCAGTTGTTCTCTCACTACCGTTTGAAGCTTTGTATTAAAAACTTTCATGTCATCTCCTGTATCTAAGTTCACATACACAGCAACAGGGAAACTATCTTGCTTCTTTGTTTCATCATTATATCTCAAAACATTAAAGTTCTTCAATAATATTGTCCTTCCTGCTGGAATACTTCTAACTTGTCTGATTTCAATAGCTTTCTCACCTCCTACATACTCTACCCAGTGTCTTGGATATTCATAAGTATACTGACTTTCTTGAATTTTGGTAGGTTTCATCATAACGTGTTCATAGTATATCTTTATACTCTTGTCAGTTAGACTCGGTGCTATGTTCTGAATATTTCTGACTTGCATTTTTAATGGAGATAAAATGAAGCATTTAATACATGATGTAGATGAAGACATGAATGAAACTACAGACAAACTTAACTCTTCTCTCATTCTTCCTTTCAGTAAGGACTATGAGTTCTGTTCAAATGGTGTTTATTTCTATTGTGGAAAGATGGGTTCAGGTAAGACATTTAACCTCATTCGTCATATACTCATAACAGAACGTTTAGGAAATGACTCATATTATGACCAAATCATTATATCAGCAACTTCAGACTCTATGGACTCAACAGCGAAAACATTCATGAGTAAAGTTCAAGCATCTGTCGTTAAAGTTCCAGATAGCGAACTCATTGAATTTCTTCAACGTTACATTCGACGTAAGAGAAAATATTATGCTATTGTAGAGTTCATACAGTCAGGAATGCAAAAGACTTCAGAAGAGATGGAAAGAATTATTGACAAACACCACTTACGTCAGTACTCAGGAGTTTACGATATGAAACGACTGACAAACTACATTCTATCAAAACTTTCAAAATACCCCTTCAAAAAGTATCCTTCAAACACTCTGCTCGTTTGTGACGACTTCGCCGGAAAAGGTTTAGTGTCAAAACCAGACTCACCATTAGCTAACATCATTACTAAAGTCAGACATTACCACTTAACTGTAGCAATACTTATGCAAACATGGAGGTTTTTAGCTTTAAACATAAAACGTCTCATAACTGACTTCGTTATCTTTCAAGGTTTCTCACGTTATGATATTGAACTCATTTGGAAACAGTCAGGTATAACATTACCTTTTGAAGAAATTTGGGAAGCATATAAGTCTCTCATCTCTCCTCGTTCATACCTTGAGATTCATATCATGACTAATACCATTAAAGTCAAAAATATTCCATGGGAACGACCGACATTGTTTTAAAGTTTAACCTTCAATTGACTGATGGTAAACAAATTCCATGCATCTCTGTCGCCATTTCTGTTAATATTTTTGCTGTCATTCATATCATCCACTTCCCCATCCGTTAGCTTTTGAGGATATGGGTTAGAATAGCTGTTCTTAAATGAAGGCTTTTCACCTTTGAGAGCATAAACTCTATAACTTTCTGCATACTTTATGTTTGAACCTCCTGAGCCATCATTGACATAAATTTTTATAGGCTTCCACCCTTTGTTCATGTTCCTGCTTCTTCCCTTAGCTCTTTTGTTCAGTAGTTCTACATCTTTATACACAGCTCCTGTCTCAGTGAATTCAACAATATTTTCATTCGTTAGCTTTACATTCAAACCCTTGTCGAGTATATTGTTCATTTCATACATATAAAAGGTTTTTATTCTATATGAAATGAGAAGCAAATCCATCTTAGCTGGTGCTGTTAATGTTCCAATTGAACCAACATCAAATGTTGACTCACGAACGACAAACAATATTGTCATAAAGAACTATAGTTCAGAGTGTTTGAAAGAAAAAGAACCAGAGCTGAAATCCGTGAATTTAAACACAGCTTCAAACGCTAACGCTACATCAGATGTTAAGTTAGAGTATCCACCACTGGACCAAATTCTTTCAAGAGAAGCCAACGACAACCCTTACATAAATGTTCAAACAAATCCTTCAGATAACGTAGACCATTACCTTCTTCAGTTATACCAAACAATTTTACTCAAAGACGATAAGAAGCTTTTGATAAATCTTATAAGGAAGAACCAAATAATTCTAACAAAGGAGGACCTTGAAAATGTTATATCACGAATAACAGGAAAGCAATGTGTCATTGACTATCTCGACCCTGAAATCGAATGCTGTGGTCAAACGCCAATATTCATGAAAATAGGTAACATCCGCATCATTGAAACACCAGGAACTACAGGAGTTGAGTTTAAGTATAAATATTCGAACGAGTATACAAAACTATCTACTTACTATAAGCTTTGTTTGAAATATGTTTTAGTAAATTAAAGCAACTTATAGTATCTATCCAAAACTTCTTCAACAGTATCGAACTCATCTTCATAATGCAAACCTAATCTTATTGACTTGGTGCAGTTTTCACTAACACAATATTTTTCTGTTCTCTTGACTGACATAACTAACTCATTTGTTTCATCAAACAGCAACAACCAAAGTTCATGACCTAATACATAACATTCATACTTTATATTTTTAGCTCTGAGTTCTCTTGTAAGCTGTTGCATTTAATATTTTCTAAAAAGTCAACTTCAACAGTCATTCGCACTGGTGCCTTCAGTTCTACAGGCTCTCCTTGAAAGTCAACAAGTCTGAATTGCATGTCTTTCAAATTATGAGGACTAATGCGAACCCATTTACCTAAATGAGTTGCTATGACAGGAACGTTTGGAATGAACATTGAATTGACTGCATAACAGAAGGATTTATATTCTACTGAACCTTACTATTAACTCCTGAAATACCTGTGACATTAGCTATTTTAGACTCAATGTATAAACAATTACCATAACATACGTATGGAACAGATTTCATCTCAATCGTTTTGTCAACACTTTTCAAAGGAAATGTCATATGGTATGCCCAAAAGAAGTTGTACTCTATGACTCATTCTTGGTATCTTAAACTCCTTCACATAACTGAACTTCAAAACTCCTGCAATAAGTTTAACATTCATTAAGTTTTCTTCGTTATCCTTGTTTATTGTAGTATTTATGAGAGCATTTAACACTCCAGCTAATGTTTCCATCTTATATTCTACATTATTGTGAAATCTTATTTCGTGCTTCTTTCCATCTATTTCAATCTCCATGAAATCTGTTTCATCTGTTATAACGAATGAAGCAATTATTAAAGTCAACCATTCTGAATGCAAGCGCCTCATTCTGTAGACCTAAGTTTGTTTGTAGCTTTACTGTCCCGTATTCGTTTGGGTCTGTACTTTGCAAATAGAACAACATTTTATTCTCATTAAAATATGAGTATAGCTGCATATGCGTATGAAGCTGACAGAGCTAAACGTTTATATTTTGGTCAATACTCTCTCACACTTACTGACAAATATATTGTTATCAGTGATGGAAATACCGAGAAATACATAACATGGAAGGACTATGAAAAGTTTGACCCTATTTTAACTCCATGTACTATGCCATTCATTGTAAATGGTGAAGTTGTCATGAAGAACGACACAACAGTATATAAGTCTGTATATGAAGCGTTAGAATATATGTTGAATTATAATCCCGAAAGATTTGACCCAAGCACTACACCATGTGCAATGCCTTTTATTAAGGACGGTGAAATCGTAAGAGTTCCGGATTCAACGGTTTACACAGCTGTTCAAAACAGTTTACAAAACATTTTAGCGAATATCTTTAATTCAGAAACTACAGAAATAAAATTACCATATATAACAGATGCTAAAGAAATTAAATCAAAAACGACAACTATTTACGTCACTTAATGATTTAATGACTTATATCATTAATATTCCTGCACCAACTACAGCATTTGATCCAAACTCGACGGTTTGCAGTGTACCTTTCATAAATGACAGTTCATTAATTACTTTAAGGATTCGACAGTAAATGAATCATTAAAGGCGTCATTAATGAAAATCATTGATTTTAATTCATTCATGAATACATATAATTCATTCATTAATGTTTCATATGCTTCTAAAGAAGGTGAGCCAAAAACTATCGATAAAGCGGTGTATGAAATAAAAGCATCAACGACGAAATGAATTCGTTAACTTTTGACGTGATAGTTTCGTTAATGACATAACATCGGGGAAAACAATTTTAACGAAAGAATATTTAAAATCTCATGTTAGTGAGTTCGTTGAAATTGAAAAAGAAGGTGGAATTAAGTTCGATCCACTGAATTTCATTTTCAGCTTAGCGAATGCGGGTGTTAGTTTCGCTGAATGGACAACTATACAGAGTGAAATAAATGCAATATGGACGTTTTTGGGGTCAAAAGCGGGAATGTGAGCTTGTAAATGCTGCAAGAACATTAGGTGAAACAGGAAATTTTGTAGATGGTTTTAAAAGACTTGTTTCAAATGTTTTAACAAACACAAAGAAATTATTTAGATATACCGTACATAACGGACGGATTTTCGAACAGATAGCAACAAACCCTCCGGTTATGGCTGCGTTGATGATGGTTAGAATATAAAACCACGTAACGACGGGAACGAAGAACATGAACAACAGGATACTGGTCGGGTTATTCGAGACATTAAAAACGTGTATCCTGAAGTTATTGATTTATTTAGAGGTGTTAATGATTCAATTTCAAATCATTCTATAACCCTTGATGAAGAGAATAAATTAACAGATTATATATTCGTCATTATTGCAGAATTAATGAAGAGAAAAATGAAAAAGGAATTGGCGATATCATTAATGTCAGCGATGTAATGATGAAAAAAATTTTGACTCATTATTTACAAAACCGAAAACAGAATATAGTCTTTATGACGTAATTACCGAATTAATGAAAAAGATTAATGATAATAAGAGTTCTGGCGGAAGAGTTGAATTAGAAGTGAATGAGATAGAAGAGAAATTAGATAGTAAGGCAGATAAAAACCATGTTCATTATATAAGTTCAGACGAACAGATTATAACGGACTACCATGGATATTTAACACGAAGTGATGAAGTGAAGACGGAAGATGTTAATGAAAGAAGATATAAATACATTCGTGCTAAAGGTTATGACATAAGCTGTACTGTACAGTATGACACGGGTAAAGCACCAGAAGCATTTAGTTATAACGATGAAATTTATGCCTCTACTTTCTCTGTTAACGGTGTATTAGTTGAACCAAGATTTACTTTGAGAGTTAAGTCAAAAATAACGTTTGAAGATGCTATTAAAAGTAAAGCTGACAAAGTTGAACTCGAAGCAATGAACAAAGTTTTGAAATCTCATAAACACAATATCTCCGATATAAATGAACTACCAGCAATGTTAGATAGTAAAGCTGACAAAGAACATACACATAAATCCTTCACTACTGTTAGAGCAGACAACATAATATTGAACTATGATTTGGGTTCAAATGCACCTTTAGAGAATCCGAGTACAAGCGTAAAAGATACTCTTAACAATTTAGATAAGAGTTGCAGGAATATCGAAGATCATACCAGAAACTTTGAAGCATACGAACTACCAGCAATGTTAGATAGTAAAGCTGACAAAGAACATACACATAAATCCTTCACTACTGTTAGAGCAGACGACATAATATTGAACTATGATTTGGGTTCAAATGCACCTTTAGAGAATCCGAGTACAAGCGTAAAAGATACTCTTAACAATTATAGATAAGAGTTGCAGGAATATCGAAGATCATGCCAGAAGCTTTGAAGCATACGAACTACCAGCAATGTTAGATAAGAAAGCTGACAAAACAGAGCTTCAAACATTAAAGACTGAAATACTTCGAACATTATATCCTGTTGGTTCTATTTATACATCAATGAACTCAACAAATCCAGCAACAGTTCTGGTTTTGGTACATGGCAGCAGAGATTGTAGACAAATTCTTATACTGTGCTAACTCTTCAAATCAAACAGGTGGTTCGAAGAAAATTAAAGAAGCAAACCTTCCACCGCACACTCATACAGGAACTACAAACTTTTCTGGTGACCATAGTCACTCATTAAGAGACCATCCATTATACAACTCAGAATATTATGCTGGCAATGACGTTTTATCTCCAGATTATAACCATTCGGCAAAAAAGACTTTTCGACCAACTGAACCAGGAGGAAATCATTCACACACTTTCACAACAAATCCAACAGGCTCGGGTGCAGATTATATGCCACCATTTGTGACTATATTCGCATGGTACCGCGTTCAATAACACACTTGAGCCTTGACTCAAAGGATCTAGGCTTACCGCGTTCAATGAAATCTTTAACTTTACATAAATGAGCTTGAAAGAAGTATTCGAACAACATCCATGGAGGTCATTTAAGAAGTTCAATGAAGCTGCAAAGAGTTCGGGATTTACTAACAGAGCTGAAGTTAAAAAGTTCTTTGACAAAAATGTTGTACATCAAACAAAAATAAATCCTTACGACTACTTTTACCAATTTACTCCAACACTCCTGACGCATACCAATTTGACACTCTCATTCAAAGCAGAAAAGGAGGACATAAACCATTCCTCATCTTCATTAATGTTAACACTGGTAAAGCTTTTGCGTATATAATGAAAAATAAAGGAACTCGTGAAGTGTTAAGAGTTTTACAAAAGTTTGTAGCAGAACATAGCCAATACTTTAACATCAGACCAAGACAGTGCATACCTCAGCAATGAAATCACAGATTTTCTCATTAAGCATAACATAACTCACTACACTACTGAAGACCATAACCATAACATACTCGGCATCATAAACCGCTTCATAAGAACGCTCAGAGATTTAAATCAAGAGCGAGACTTTACCGAAAAACAATGAAACATTTTCTCGAAGTATATAATTCCTCAACACACTCTACAACAGGACATACACCAAATTCAATGACACAACAACAAGAAGAAAAGTATATACAAAAGAAACGAAGCCAAACACAAAATATCAGAAATTCAACACAATTTACCCTCATTCCTGGTACAAAAGTTCGTGTATTCTTGACGACAAACCGTTGACAAAGAAACGTTTAAGTTAAGTAGAAACTATTATATCGTAGACTCTACGCAAGCAATGGATATCTTATAAAAGCTGCTGACGACTCTATTGCGTTTTACCCTCGACATAAATTAGTTGAAAGTAGTAATGGCAAACTTGCTGAAACCATTGACGAAGCAAAGCGAGGAGTGGTTATTGAATACTTGGCTATAACATAAACGATGACACTTATAAAGTAAGATATGAAGGAGGCGTTGAAGATGTTATACCATCTAAGAACTTGAGAGAGTCAAAGTCAACACATCTGGGACCATTAAGCGGGAGTACTGGAAAGACAAAAATAAGCCGGAAAGAATAAGAAAATTCTTCTAAACTTTTTCATTAGATGTAAATCAGACATGAATGAGAACAGTCATGATATCATTAATGGTACCATTTATTTTTATCATAAATTTACACCAAAAATATATTTTAGGTAGGGTGAGATCTCACCCGTTTTTTCACCTCTTTTTCACCCTCATGAAATTTTCATGAATTTCCTTAAGATAGAAAAAATAAGTTAGTTTTAAAATTATTTTTATTTTATTTTGTATGTAAGAACAGTAATGTCAGTCGAAGCAAAAACATTCACGAACAAATCTAATGTGAAACATTCACAAAAGCACTTATAATGGTATTGAAGTCTTACGTAGAGACAAGGATGGTTACATTAATGCAACAAAGATGGCAAAGAAGGGAAGGTTAAACCATTTAAACAATTCTCAATAGTACTAAAATGCAGGAAATTCTTGAGTTTTGATGAACGAATACGGTCAAGCAAAAGTGGCTCAACCTCAAAACAAGCTTTTTATGAGCTTACTAAGGGTGTTATAAATGAATTCAAAGGTATTTACATACATCCTGACCTCGTTCATTTTGTTGCTGAATGGTGCTCTGTAAAGTATGCATTTTATGTCAAAGATATTATGGACTCCATAGACAAGAAAGTTCATGAGAAATTAGATGAAGAAGAACTTGAAGATACAGTAGAGAATGCTAAACATTTGTTTGAAGAAGAAGTTAGAAAAACGTGTAAAAAACAATTAGAACATGAGCGTGTAAAATGTTATGGTTATAGAGATTCTTCATACGAACTAGACCAATGGGAACAAGAAGATTTAAAGAGAGAATTTAGAGAATATGAACTCGCTAAGATAGCATTAGAAACTGCAGAAAAGAAGTTAAAAGTTTGGGGTCGTTTTGTACAAAAATATTGTGAGTAAATGAACCATTTATTTTTGTCATTAACGACCAAAAATATAGTTTATGTTAATGTTTTCAGGTCATTCAATAATTAATTATTTTTGAAGAACTGAAGGGGTCACCAGGTCACCAGGTCACCAGGTCATTTCACTTCTCCTGAAAAAATGTGACAACATGACATTTTGACAACAGTCCTGGAAAATAAATGTTTACGTTAATGTTTATGTTAATGTTTTCAGGTCATTCAATAATTAATTATTTTTGAAGAACTGAAGGGGTCACCAGGTCACCAGGTCACCAGGTCATTTCACTTCTCCTGAAAAAATGTGACAACATGACATTTTGACAACATCACTGGAAATATGATGCAGTTCAAAAATAAAGTTAGTTTTAAAATTATTTTTATTTTTTTATTCCTATATAAATGACAGCAACAAACAACAACAGCAACTTTATCGTTTCTGATGAAAAAGTTATTGATTCATTAGCTGAGGAATTAGTTGTGGCAGAAACTAAAACCCTCAACGAAAGAATTGGTGAAAACATGATTGATTTACATAACTACCTCAAACATGATGGAGGAAGAGGAAGGAAAACTGGTACAGCTTTATTAGTAAATAAAATTTCAAATTTAACGATTATAGATGTTGATATCAATAAATCGTACAATGATGAACTTAAAGAAACAGTTAGAAAAGACATTTTATCAAAACTTTCGGATAAAGATGTTATCGTTAAAACCGCATCAGGAGGTCTTCACATTTATTGCAACACTAATTTCTTCTATGCAGTTTCGAACAGAATGATTAAATGTTATTCCCGCAATGATTATGATATTGACATAATGACTTCTATGGATGATTCAAAACGTTCTTTAGTGGTTATGGCTGATTCAAGAGTTCGAAAGAATGCAACAGAACCAATCAATACATACTCATTCATTCGTGGAAGTTATGATTCAACATTAACTAGAACAGTGAATGATATATTAAATGATTTGAATATTAAGGTAAGAGTTGAACAGAAGAGCGAAGAAATAAAGAGTATAATGAATGAAAACAAAGATGTAAACATTGACGATAAACTAGCTCAGAGCATAGTTGATGGCATCTGTGATTTTGAAGTACATAATGATGGTGGAAACATGAATTTAGAAAAAGAAATAACATTATTCACACTGTTTCAAGCTATTAATTCGTTACCTAATCATTTGATTAATGAAGCATACGATAACGTTTATAACTTCTGCAATTTAACTGAAAATGCAAAAAGTAATTTTGAAAAAGCACGTAGTAGATATGCACATTTAATGACTTCTCCATTTGTTTTGGTGAAGATTCTAAAACTTTATCAAAAGGAATATTATGATGAATATGTTTTACCTTTATTACGTAAGCCAAAAATAACATTTGATATCAAACTTGATGACTCGTTTTTGATAACAGATATTAGACACAAGGCTGAAAATCATCAGTATAAAAACAGTTCTGAAGTAATTGAGGATTTATCACGTGTAATTCGTTTTGTAGATTGTGGAAACAAATACTTCATTCAGAAAGATTACAACATACACGACAAAATGAATCAAATATCATTCGTTCTTCAATCAAACATGAAAGAGTCACTCAAAATGATTAAATTATTTAAAGAAGAAGGTAAAACCATAACAGCATGGGACGTACTACTAAATCAATTATCCTCATTAACCGTTAAGGGTGTTTGCTTTAAATCTGATTCTCCAGATGTTTTCTCAACGTTTCAGGGTTATAAATACAACATTCTTGAAAAGCCTGATTACTCAAAAATTGAGATGTTTATGAATTTCATTAAAGAAGTCATTTGTGATAATAACGATGAAGTGTATAAATACCTTCTCGGCTGGTTTGCATCAATGATTCAACATCCCGGAATCAAGAATGAAACAGCAATTATTTTGAAAGGACTTCAGGGAACAGGTAAAAACAGATTTACAGATATTATTTCTGAACTTCTCGCTGGTTATTCATGTAAAAACATTACTGAAATAAGTGAGCTAACGGGTAATTTCAACTCAGTAGTTGAAAATAAAATGTTTCTTGTACTTAATGAACTCAAGAATGTAGGTGAAGACAGACTCGCAAACTTCAACGCTTTGAAATCAATTATAACGGATAATGAGATTAGAATTAATGAAAAGAATCAACCCAGAAGAACTGCTCAGAATGTTGCAAACTTCATTTTCGTAACTAATAACGTTTACCCTGTCAAAATTGAAGTTGGAGACAGAAGATACGTAGTTTTAAGAGTTAATGGTAAATTCAAGGGTCAATTTGATTACTTCAAGAATTTAATGGATTCATGCACAAAGGAATTTTATGATAACCTTTTAACATATTTTATGCAATATGACCTTTCATCATTTAATGTACGAATCATTCCGATGACTGAAGCCAAACAAGTTTAATCGAGTTATCAACAAATCCTTTAGATGAATGGATAAATACACATTATGATGAATTATGTGCAGGTATGACGTGTAAAAATGCTCGATTCTGCAAACCATCAGACATGAAAGACAAAAACTTTCAAATGAGCATTAAGGATAAATGTGAAAGGAAACAAAGAAAAATAGATGGTAAACAAACATGGTATTATGTTTTGAAAGAAGAAATGAAAGGATTATATAAACAAATTGAACCAAACGATAATGAGGAATCATTTACTGACGATGAAATACCTGTGAATGAAGCTTTATAAAGTATGATTTGAATTTATTTTTGCATTAATTATTGAATAACCCATGATGTTGTCAAAATGTCATGTTGTCACATTTTTTCAGGAGAAGTGAAATGACCTGGTGACCTGGTGACCTGGTGACCCCTTCAGTTCTTCAAAAATAATTAATTATTGAATAACCCATGATGTTGTCAAAATGTCATGTTGTCACATTTTTTCAGAGAAGTGAAATGACCTGGTGACCTGGTGACCTGGTGACATGGTGACGTGGTGACACCATCAGTTATTCAAAAATATATTTTTGCTTAAATGGCTTCAGGGTCTTTCTTCAAACCATTTCACTTCCTTCGTCAATGTCAATAGAAGCTTCTTCAACCTTTGGTAAAGAATTTCTGTATAACATCTTTGTTCGTTATTGTCTTCAGAGATGAAGGATAATATTTCACATTTGTTTCACCCTTCTTATATTCTTTCTGTTCGGAAAGATTCATAGCAATACTGAAAAGTCAATGTTAGAGTTCTTTATGACAGAATAATGGTATCTTTGACATTCACGAAGAAACCCTTTGTTTCAAACTACTGCTAACTCTTGTGAAGTATAACGTTTGCGGTCAATGACAATAGCTAATGGTCTGACATACTGACCAAACTTAGATTCTTTCACAAACTTCTTGTTAAAGATAACATTAACGTTTGAAGCACCATTGAACTCATTCTGATACAGTAGCGAGCATTGTATGAAAGAACTTGCAATCTTGCATGTTGTTTCATTAAAATAAAAATATTAAATTATTTTGAAAATAACTTTAAAAAATCTAATCTAATTTTTTCAAAAATATTTTTTATTTCCTACTAAAGATGTATCGGAAGTTGTCTAAGTTAGAACACTCGGAAATAAAACAACTTCTAACAGAAGCTAACATAGAAGTTGCAAAACATTACGCGACAAACAAAAAAAGCACTCGCTGACATTCTCAATGACTACAATGGTGAAATAACTTATGATAGAATTCATGAGTTCATAAATGCAAGAGCATTTCCTTTAAATGACGTTGCTATTGACTTATATCATAGACGTTCAATACCTCATGAAGTAAGGCGTGAGATGTTTGACATAACAAATGCAAACGTTGGTGAAACAAGAAGAAGAGACGACACACTGAAACAACAGAGAAGAGAGATGTTTAAAAGTGCTATAGAACAAGTTCGCAAAGCTAACGATGTCATTCGTTCCATTGACGACAAACCAAAAGAAGGTGAGAGATGGTTAAAGAAAGATGAAGAGAATAGGAAGAGGAATGTTAAGACAGGCAATAGACTCATTGACTTTAACATCGAATCTTTAGATGAACCAAACAGAGACTACTTACACAAACATTTCGGTAAGGTTTTCATGAGACTCTTAGAGAAGATTAAAATAAACTCCCAACAAAGATGGATGGTATGTTATAAACTTGGTGGAAAGTATGAATGTTCTACGTTAAACCTCAATAATATTGGAACATTACTACATCAGCTCTTGAAGGAGAACTTTATATCAGAGATAGAAGCAAATGCCGCAGGTATTGTTGAAATGCACTATGACTTCTTCTTGACAAACATAAAGAATCTTACTGAAATAAAGATGTATGATTTAACAGAATATGAGGGCTTAACGATGTCAGATGTAAAGAAAGGCAAACCAAAAAAGAGACCATATAGAGATGAAAGCACACTGACAAATGACCAGAAAGCTATTTTGGAAGCTCTTAAGCAAACAGGAAACCCAGCACTTATAGAAAGCTTTTGGAAAGATAATGGTGAAAAGAAGTTTTATAAGAAGAGAAGCGGTCAGTTCTGGAAGTATCTTTGCACGTTACCTATAAATCTTGAACGCTACCAAATCTTCAATGAACTGAACAAAAGAACTGCAACACTTATGACAGAAGACAATTGTTTCGTTTATGCTTGCATTCAGGCTGGAGTAAATGAAGAAACTATTGACCACATGAGAGAAGTCATTCGTGTTAGAGACTTTCCTCAAAGTAAAGTACAAGAAATTTCTGACGCAACAGGTATAGCATTTAATGTTACCATTGGTTACTTCAATGACTCAAGATATAATGAAATAAAGAGATACATACCAAAAGAATGTGAAACTGTTCGAACTATTGACCTACTTCTTGTTGAAGACCACTACATGCTAAACGAAAGACTTCCAATGACAACATACTTCGTCAGAAATTACAAAGAAATCTTGAAGGAGTGTGGTGGAATGAACATTGAAAAACAGATGAAAATATATACAATGAGAGAGAACAAATATGTAGTTCGTTATGATAGAACTACACCGCTATGGGATGTTATGAAAACATTGTGGGAGTGCAAATATTTCGAACCTATTTCTTATGGAGAACTTTTCACATATACGACTGACTTATATAAACAGAACCTTGCACCATTTAAAGATTTGACATATGCTCCAAAGTATTGTGTACAACTGAAGAAGAAAGCAGAGTCAAAAGAAGTAAATAAAAATAAGTGCAAGTTCATTCCTGAGCACGTTTTCTTTGCTGACTTGAGTGTAGTACCGATGGCTTTCATAAAGCTTTTAACATATGTTACGACAGTGAAGATGGTTCAGTGAGTGAAAGCATTTGGGGTCAGAACTGTGTGCAACAGAATTTTTGGAACGACTTCCTGACAAGAGTTTAATATATTTCCATAACCTCAGCTATGACATAAACTTCATCTTAAGACACATGACAGAAGTGAAAGGAACTCCCATCATTAAAGGTTCACGAACAATGCAAATAACTGGTTTATATAAAGGACGGGCAATTATTATAAAAGACTCTTACAGTGTTATAAATAAGAAGCTTAAACTATTTCCTGCTATGTTTAACTTACAAACAGGACCAAAAGAAGTATTTCCATACAACTACTACAGCAGTACTTTGTTAGCAAATGACAACAGAACTGGTGTCATTTCTGAAGCATGTAAGTTTGTCAAGGATGCAGATACATTTATGAAGAACATAGATTCCATCAAAGGTTGCAGAATAGATGAGAACCACTTCGACTTAGAAAAATATAGCACGTTTTACTGCAAACAAGATGTAAGAATTTTAAGAGAAGGTTTTGTAAAGTTCCGCAATGACTTATTGAAAGAGTTTGATTTAAACGTTTATGACTACGTTAGTATTTGTTCAATTGCTAACAAATTATTTGAGAACAGAGTGTACTTCCCGAATGGAAATCTTTATGACCTCTCAAATAAACCAAGAGAATTTATTTCGAGATGCATTCAAGGTGGAAGATGTATGTTGTCAGATAACATGAAACAAAAGAGCGAAAAGAAACTCATTGCTGACTTCGACGCTGTTTCATTATATCCATCAGCTATAGCAAGACTTTATACTTTAGAAGGAATTCCAAAAGTATTGAAGGATGAGATGTTAAGCACAGAGTATCTCATGAGACATTTATTCGATGACGACCAAAAGGAACCCATTGGTGAAAAGTTTATGTCTGGCTTCTCTGTTCTCATTAAGATAACAGAGATTGGAATACATAGACACTTTCCTTTAATAGTTTGTGACCCTGAACTAAATCCAGAAACTTAACGTTCCCAGAAGTTCAAACACTTGCTGTTTAATGTATGTTGACCATATAACATTACAAGACCTCATAAAATATCAAGGTGTCAAATGTGAAGTGTTGCAAGGATACTATTACGATGGAAACAGAGATATTAGAATAAGAGATGAAGTAAAGAAGTTGTTTGAGTTAAGGTTAAAGTATAAGAAAGAAGAAAACCCATTACAAGAAATTATAAAACTCATTCTGAACAGCATTTATGGCAAAACCTTTTATCTCCTATTGAGTCAAAAATAACCATAGTAGATGACAAAGATGCTATAGATATGCCATCAGAAACTACAACCATATAGTGAAGTTCGAAGGTTTGGATGGTTCAGATAAAACTATTTTCAAGCTAACGAAAAGCATTTGCAGACACTTTAACTTCTGTCCACTTGGTGTAAATATTCTATCAATGTCAAAACGTATTATGAATGAAGTGTTTTGCACGATTGAAGACTTAGGATTAAAAGCATTTTATCAGGATACAGATTCGATGCACATTTACAATGAAGACATACCACGTTTAGCTCATGAATTTAAGAAGAGATACGGTAGAGAACTTATTGGTAAAACATTAGGTCAATTTCATAGCGACTTCGCAGAAATAACACCTGGAAAACAAAGTTTAGCATACAAGTCAATATTTTGTGGAAAGAAGACCTACATAGACTTACTCACTAACGATTTAAATGAAGTTGCATTTCACTGCAGAATGAAAGGCGTGAAGCAAGATGTTATTGCTTTAACCGCTAATGAAATGTTTCCTGACTCTGTTCAGTGTTTCTATGATGAAGATAAAGGTTTAATGGTTCCGCAAGGAAAATTTGACAAAGACTCTGAGTTCAGTGTTATGCAGTTATATAAAGCACTTTATGACGGTCAAGAGATTGGATTTGACTTATGTAAGTCTTCTAGTCCTTGCTTTGCTGAAAAGTTTAACTTCTCAATAACGACTAAAACAAGCTTTATTCGTAAGTTGAAGTTCTGAGGTCATTTATTTTTGTCAGCAGTGAGACCATTCATGATAAAAATAAGCCGCTAGCGGCAAGGGCGAAGCCCATGTGGTCATTTACAATACTGCGATGGTAGAGTTTAAGAGTTGTGCTTCAATGTAGAGACAGTCCTTATGGTCTGGAGGTAAGAACACTGGGCAGTTATGGTCATGAGTGGAGAACATGTCTATCCAAAACTCACGATTGAAGCCAGTTAATTTATAGTATTTAGGGTTAGGAAGTGGTGAAGTTCTTGTATGACCAATGAACTCATTTTCAACGCCTTTGGCTATATTAGAGAAAAGAATAGCTTGCTTTCTATCCCAAATGCCAGGTGTTACAATCTTTGAAAATTCATTTTTCCTCGGAAGCATTGCATCATAATTGAAAACATTCTTGAAATCATCACTTGGTTCAGAGATTTGAAATCTTATACGTAATGGATTTTCTTTCTCTTTAGCTACTTCATTGAATGGTGAATATATAACAAACTGACAGTCATGTGTTCCATCTTCATTTTCATTAAATTCATAATGAAAGTCTATAAGTTGTGGCTGACTACCTTCTTCTTTCAGTTGTGCAAGAAACTCACGTAAAGGCTGTAAAGTTTGTACTTCAATGTTAAACTTTTTCTCGAACATTTCATTAAATGAAATCATACATTGCAACAATGTTGTATCGTCTTTAAAGTATTTGTATATGTGAATGTTTTGGACACTTAAAGACTGTTCGTCATTTTCTATCTCGACTTGAAGTATAAAGTCAACTTTCCTAAATGCACGTGTTATATACATAGATGTTATGCCAATGTACTTCTCTTCATTTATGTTCACAATCCAGTCTGTTGGAAACTTAAACGTTACTCTGTTCCCCTTTATTTTGACGTCAGGGTTTTCACTACTGAACGCAACAGATAAAGGTATTTGTCTATACATTTAATTCGGATAAAAATAAACCATTTACTCTTTCTTTGCTTCAGCTTCTTTAGCTTTTGCTTCAGCTTCTTCTCTAGCTTTCTTCGCCAGCAAACGTGGGTTCTTCTGTCTTCCAGCAGCTAATGCAGCTAGTTGTTTTTCACTAAGTTTTCTCTTTGGTCTCTCTGGCTTTTGTTCTTGTTTTTGTTCCTTCAGTTCGGATAAAATTTGCTCGCGAATTTCTTTCTTCAATGCTTCAACATCTATGACCCCTTGGGTCTTGTCCATATGACTTGTCTGAGTCATTTGACTGCAGATAAAAAAACAAAATTAAAACTTTAACCGATGTAAAATGAGCTTGTCAAAATCAGAGCGAGAGTCTATTATATTAAATGACGCAAGAGGAATACAACATCCTTTCTATTATGTAAGTCAGAGTAAAGATGGTAAAATATACGTAAGAAAAAGAAAGGTTCCATTAGCGAATGCAGAGAGCGACAACATTAAGGTGCATGGCACCGAGGGTGAAGCCCATATAAAACCTTCTATTCAAACTGAAAAGTCAATAGAACAAGAAGAAAAGAAGCCAGATGTTCTTTCAATAACGAACCAAGAGCTTATTGCAAAGTTCGTGAATTTCATTGAAAAGCAAACCGAGTCAAAGAACCTGACCCACCAGTGAAAGAAGTTGAGACAAAAGAGAATGTACAGTTCATTGAAAATGTCAAGAAACAACTTCCACCACGAATGCCAAGAAGAAGAGTGAGAATAATGAAGTAAATAGATATTTTTATCCGAAGTAAATACATGCAGAACGAACAGTTAAACGAATTTACTCCAGCAGAGCATATTCATCAGATTCGCTCATATTTCGATATCATAGACAATGCAGTTCAAATTGGTGACACTAATAGAAAATATTCTGACGCAAAGATTCCATCACAACCTGGAACTGCTAAAGATAACACATGGGTAACATTCAATCTCTCACCTCCTGGTGAAAATATGTTGGACCTTTACAATACATTCATTACGTATAAAATGGAAGGTCAATTTATTGCAGATAAAGAAATTGGTTCAGGTTCCAATAAAACAAACCACCAGGATTTTGGATTGGTTTCGATGACGCTTTCTATGCAGTTGCTGGATATCAAATCCTTGCAAATGGTCGTATCGTATATTCTCAAGACAACGCAGAGAAGAAGCATATATAACTTCAAACTCACAAACTACCGAACAAATAAAGAAAGTAGATGTTTTCTCAAAGACTCGACATGAAGATGTATGGAGTCGTTCGGGAACATGCAGAACAGGACAAATTGTTAGTGGTCCAATTACAGCAGGAAAATCATTTGATTTTAAGCTTCGTTTAAGAATTCCTGTTAGAAAGTTTTTACCATTAGAAGCTATAAGATTTATTCCTGCATTTGCTGGTAACATTCAGCTTAAAGTAAAGTTCAGTAGCGACGCATTACAATGCACATCTATATCTGTAAATGATATCATTGCTTTCAATCCAACTCTTAAAGTTGCATTTGCTTCAGATTCAAATCCACCGACAAATAAATTTGTTCCATGGAATGAACCATTCACTATGATAACGAAGGCAATAGAAGCTAGTGGAACAGTTACTATTACAACTGTAACCCAGCAACTATTTCGAACAAAGATGGATTTTAATGAATGTTTCATTCATCCAAAGTCATTCTCTTTAGACCCTAACATTTATACAGAACTTGTAGAACATTATACAAACGAGGCTTTATGTTTTCCTGTTAAAGTTATGGATTGGATTCCTATGGACGGTTCATTCTCAAAGAATACAGATAGTTCAAGTGCAACATTTACAGCAGCTTATACGCCTATTAATGTTAAAAGTATTTGGGCACTATTTAGAAAGAAAGACAACTATTATGTTAATTTTGAGAACCCTAAGTTTAAATATCTTCAGCTTTCCATGGGAGCTTATGGAAATATGCCTGCAGAACCTGAAAAATCATATGGACCTGTATTTTATGAAATGGTTGCGAACGCTTGCAATACAAACAATGATATGATTGGATTTAATGAAGATGTTATGAGGTCATTGGTGGATGATGGTAGTGTGGAACATAAATGGGATAGCTATGACAACACACATTTCTTATGTGGTTTTCCAACAGAAGTGGACTTTTGCTTCCAGCAAGGTCAAACATCTACTGCTCCAATAACATACAAATTGTCTGTTAAAGGACCTATTGAACTAGCAACTGAAAACGTACCAAAGCCACTTATTGGATTTATGAGGGATTGTTGCTTTGCCATTCAGGTGCGTGCTAATGGAATCCCAATAATAAGATTAGATGACTATAACTTAGCTACGGACGACAGTGAGGAATAAAGGATGAACGTTTTTTTTAAAGCTTATAAATGAGTTCTTCATCAAGCTCTCGTGAACCTTCACCATCTATGAAACAAACTTTACCAAACGATTATGGAGCACCTATTGAATATTTCTTACGAGCTGCACAATGGCAAAGAGCAGTCTCACCAAGGTTAGGTGTTCCACCAGCTCCTGTCAAAAATAGCATTTGGTCAAGTCCTTATATAAAATATGGTCTCCCACTAGGTTTGCTAGCTACAGCAGGAGCAGTAATGATGTTGAAAAGAAATAAAGCAAATGTTGTAAATAATACTGAAGTAGCTGAAGTTAAACAAACTCCGACACCATCGCCAAAACCAACGCCTTCACAAACAACACCTTCAATGACTCCTGAACCTATGGAATTACAAACTCCTGTTCAAAAGTCAACTCCAAAACCGACTCCAACATTTAAACCAGAACCTACACCACAAATAAATCGTAAAACTCCTGCGTTTCCTTACTGAAAAAATAACGTTATTTTTATTTAATATTAAAATTTTTATTTGATTGAAATGACGACTAAAGTCACTGAAGCAATGAAACAAAAGTTTTTGGTAGAAT